TGGCCCAAATCCCCAGAAAAAAAGGTTACAAGTGGAGAAAACAGTATTATGCACCACTTTGCCCCAATAAAGGAGCCTTCTCCATTCCTCAGTTAGCATCCAGTACTTGAAGATGTATTAATGTGAATAATTTGAGTAAGGATTCAGACCTGTGCTCAGCCATGTCAAGGAACCTGTAATTTTCAAACGGGACAGAACCATGGCAAAACAACCTACCTGAGGTCAACAAAGCTCCCCATGTTCATTTGCACATTTGCCCTGACTTSTTTGCCTAAAGACTACAAACCTCAGTTACAGCAATCCTCTTCAGAAGGGAGTTCTCATGACTCAAGAGTCAAGCCAGAATGGTTCTGCTTCCTACTTGTTAACCCATACCAGGATTATTAAAACCAGCAAATCCAGGTTTGACACCAAAGGAAGAGGTGGGTACCTCCTTGTTTGAAAGTCACATCATTTATTTAAGCACCTGATCTCAAGACCCAGGTAGGCAAGTTTGGAGCTTTATCCTTAGACCGTTGCCTTCATTCTGCTACCAATTCTAAACATGTCAAAAAACCCAGTTAGTCAAAAAAACATAGTTCTATACCTTGATGGAAATTCTGTTGCCTTCCATTACAAATCCTTCCACAAGGAAAAGCAGTGAGATTCGTCAGCTCAAGGTTTGTTACATGCTTGTTAAYGCAGTATCCAGCACAAACAGGGTCTAGGGCCCAGAAGTGGCTACAAAAGATGATGATAATAATAGTAGCTTAAGTAAAACCAATCAAAGACAAAAACCAATAAACCATTCTCTGCTCCCCTTAAGAAAATTTGTTTATTCAGCCCCTCACAAAGAAGGTTGCCCTATTTATCTGCCCGGAGAGCTCAGACATTCCTTGCATGTGCAGCACAGATGGTCACCACACCACAAAAGGCAGAAAGGCTCACGGTGGACGTGTCTGGTTTCTAGATAGACAGAAACCTGGTCAGAGCTGCTGCTCCAGCAGGGCTGCTATGTATCCAAAATCTCAAACAAATACAAAAAGCCATCAATATAATTTGGTCACCATCTCTTAGTGGAAAAGGAGACTGTCCAGGGAAAAGGAGCTGTACAGTGACCTTGGTTGTGAGTCTTAATTCATTAGTGTACATAGATTGTTTCAAGATCCTGAGGTGGGAAGTGCTAAGGAAGCAGAAGTATTATTTACTAAAGCTCAAGGCTCTGTTGTTTCTTTATCCTCGGATATTCACGTCTGTTTTTGCATTCATGGCCATTGCTACTTTAAATTATTTCAGCTGTCTCGATCTTTTCTTTACCAAATGGAATAGCCCCAGGCAGAGGATATGCAGTATCTAGTAGCTGAGATACTGGGTTTGCTCATTGCAGTTATTTATCTTATTCTTTTCTAATTAATTTACTGTTCTGATCCCAGTCCTGGCTCTTCCTTTGATTTTATAGCCAGATATCAAATGTGGCTGCTCTCCATGGATAGAAAGTACTCTGCAAGTAAATGCCCTTAATATTTTTACTACCTCGCAAAACACACTTCTACTGAAAGGGGTCTGCAAGGTCTGTTTTAGCAAACTGGGTATAAAAATCATTGCTAATTCTTCTGAAAACTGAAAGGCAGAGCAGTTTGGCAGTAACCACTTTAGTTCCCAAGGTGGGCAATACAAACTGTAATCAAAGAATAGACCTGGGGGAAATGATAAAACTGAAGCAAAGCAGAGCAGAAAGTTAATTTTGTAACACTCTGTGTTCTGTACATAAGTTTTTGTCCTCCTTTAAGAAATCAGTGAGTGCAGAACTGTGTTCTGTGTAATACATTAAAAAAAATCACTAAACTTGTTTCTGCTTTTGGAGGAGTCATTCTAGCTTTCAGTACTTAAAATACATCCCTCTTTTTCTTCAAAAATACAGGGTAGAAATCTTTGGTCTTTTTTCCTCAGCTTAGTAAAAACATAAATAAACCAGGAAACTGAAGACAAAAAAAAWTTAAAAGAAAGATGAGAAAGCTACCTTTTCCACATCCTGTTGTGCCTAAACAGAACATGTTGTACCAGCATGTATGATTTCTCAATAAAATGTATCRCGGACACTTCAAAAGCTGACCATAATCAGGAGAGTTAAGTGAGGAATGTCAGCTTGGATGAGGGATTGTGCTGCTTTTGTTATACATTAGTTAAGCATGCAGGTTTGTGGGATTTTGCTTTATCTTGGATTTTACTGTAGTGTAATTGAACTCTGTTACCTTTTTCAGTTTCCTAAGCGTTCCACTAAGTGCTTGTGCGGATTTAGGTTTGAGGATATTGTAGACAGATCTAGAGGCAATTGAAGTCGGTGGCAGAAGCCTCTGCAGAGTTTAGCTAGTCCTCTAATGCGGAAACTGGGTTTTCCTTTTACTTCTTAATTCCCCTGGGATCAGCCCTCAGACATGTGCAGAAATAAGGATTCAGAAACACGAATTTGCTATGGAACCACAGGCAAACCTCACACTTACATCAGCAAAACCAGGATTCACAGAAAAGTGTATTTGATTGTAGTGGGATCATTCACATTACATGAATTTTATGCATTAAATTCACAGCCTTAACAGTAATTGCAGGCTTGGGGTATCCTGTTGGCTGTGACTGGCCCCTCATCATCTGGGACCTCTGTCATTTTCACCAAAGCACAATTTATTTCCTTCATATACCTCATCACACCTGAGTCTTCACATAGATACTACAACAATAAAATCATAATCTTTGCAGTGGGATGCTTGAACTTCTCAAGGCAATGATATCTCCATGTAACCACACATGATAAACAAATAGTCAACAAACACACCAGCAGATTTTACTACCTCTGAAACAGCCTATATTTTCATTTAAAAACCATGAGTTTAGGCTTCACATGTCAAGTTCTGCATCAACACCCCTTTTATAGCCACAGCTCTGACAGGAAAAACCACCCMAAATCCTATTTAAAAACCAGACTCCTCACCCACTGCAGACACACGGGCGGGTGTTTCACATCACAGTATCACAATTTCCTTCATGTCTTCACAAAAGAACACTGCCTGGTCTGGGGGAAAAARTCTGCAAGCAGGAACCATTCTAACCCTGCCCCGGGGGTGATGTGGGGAACAGCACCCTTGTGAGGGAAAGAGACCTGCTGAGGGGAGACCCATCATGGCGGGAATCCCGTGAGGGGGAGAGACTTTCTGTGGGGAGACACCCACCATGGTGGGAACCCACTTAGGGGGAATCCACTGTGAGGGAGATGCTCCCTGAGGGGAGAGACCTGCTGAGAGGAGACCCCTCATGGCGGGAACCTCTTGACAAGGAGAGACTTTCTAATGGGAGAGACCCACTGAGGGGGAGACACACCATGGCAGGAACCATGTGTGGAATCCACTGTGGAGGAWACACACTCTGAGGGGAGAGACCCATAGAATAGACCTGCTGAGAAAGAGACCTGCTGCCAGGAGAGACACTCTGAGGGAAGACCCACAATGGTGGGAACCCACTGAGAGCATCTCCATGGTGTGGGAGACATTCTCTGAGCGGAGAGATTCATCATGGCGGGAACTCCCTGAGTGGGAACCCACTGTGAGGGAGACACATTCGGTGGGGAGAGATCTGCTGAGGGGAAACCCACCATGGGATAGACTTGCTGAGGGAAAGAGAACTGCCAGGGGGAGAGGTGTACTGAGGGGAGACTCACCATGGCGGGAACACACTGAGGTAGAGACACCTTCTGAGGGGAGAGACCTGCTGAGGGAAGAACCGCCATGACGTGAACCCTCTGAGGGGAAACTCACAGTAGAGAAGATATKCTCTGAGGGGAGAGACTGGGAATGCACTGGGAGTATATCCACAGTAGGGCAGACACTCTCTCCAAGAGGAAAGATCTGCAGAGGGGTTAGATCTGCTGCGGGATAGACTTTCTGAGGGAAGAGACCTGATGAGGGGCTAGACCCACTGAGGGGGTACCCATCATGGCGGGAACCCATTGAGGGGAATCTGCTGGAGGGGAGAGACTTTCTCAGGTGAGAGAGTCTACTGAGTTCTCTACCACCATGTGGTAGACTTGCTGCAGAGAGATGTACTGAGAGGAAAGAACTTCTGAGAGAAGGCTTGCTATGGGAAGAGACCTGCTAAGAGGAGAGACACTGCTGAGACCTGCTGAAGTAAGAGACTGGCGAAGGGGACAAACCCACTGAGGCGCACCTGAGATGAGTGCATACCTGCCATGGGGGGACTTGCTGGGGGGAGAGACTGTCTGAGGGGATATCCGCTCGGGATGAGACCCSGCTCTGGGGATACCTCGTGGGGGAGACCCGCTGAGAGGACATGACCGATGCTTCAGCTCTGCACACTGATGCCCTCCGGAAGAGCCGCTGCGGCAGAGCGGGCTGGCGGCTTGGGGGCAATTTTGGGCTTGCGGTTGGTTGGTTGTGGGGTCTTTGTCCCCTGGCGGGGCATGGCGGAGGGCGCGGGCGACATCCCGCTCCAGGGACGGGACAGGATAGCCCAGTCCCAGTCCCCGGCTCACCTGGGCCACCTCGGCTCCCGCGATGGGACCCTCGTGTCCCCAGCGCCCCAGGGCGGCGCGGAGCGAGCGGCAGCGCCGCCTGCCGGGCAGGGCGGGGTCCGTCCCTGCCCTCGCCCCCTGCCGGGCCCGTCTGTGCCCGGTTCTGCCCGGTTCCCCCGCTCCGCTCCGCTCCGCTCCGCCCCGCCCGGCTCCGTCTGTCTGCAGCGCGGCCGCAGCTGCCGGCACAGATACGGTGTCGGCGGGCCGGGAGAGCGCGGAAACACCTGTTTCCAACATGGGAAAAGTGGGGCGGGAGCCCGCGGCGGGGCCGGGCAGCGCTGCTCGCCCTCCCTTCCCTGCCGCCGGTTGTAACCCGGCCATACAGCCCGCAGGATCGCCTTTCAGAAAGATCGCATTCCCTTTTTACACGATCGGCTGAAAAACGCGTCTCGACCCTCTCCTCACGTGTTGTTTTTTTCCACCCCGTCCGTGCTGGCGGGTGATGGGTGGGGGGGGCACGCTCGGGGCTGAAGCGGTGGCGGCATCGACGGACTCGGGGGTTCCGACAGCCCGGGGCCACCAGCCCACGGGGGGACCCCGACCGACCCGACCCGTGCACGGTCTGGGGTCGCGGCTGCGGGGCCGGGCAGGGCCCGGAGCGGGTGCGTGCGGGGGCTCCATGATTTCATCGTCGGCTGTCGGGGACCTGCCAAGAGCTGTTATGCCTCACTGCGATGTGTAGCTTTTTCCTGACGTTTTTTTATAATAAAAGAGGGAGTGAAGCGGGCCCTTTTTTTTTTTTTTT